GCTTGTAGGCTCTGTATTCTACAAATAATGACACCTCCGCAGCTCCATGCACGTCCTCATCTACGTGACGCCGCCCAAGACACGTAAATTGTACATGTAACTCGCTTTATTACGATAGAGCAAAATGAAACTACACGTGACTCTAGTCGGTAGTCCCGTTGACAGGTGCGTCGAACGCGGCCAACTCCAGCCTCAAAGCATGGACGTCCGAGGCGTGGCAGAATTCGTCCAGCGTGATGTACTTGTTGAGGTCGGAGACTGGGCCCAAGCCCACGGACACGTAGCAGTCGCGGGTCTCAGGGTCCGTCAGCCAGTGCAACGCGCGGTGGCAGGTGCGGCTGTCGCACTTTTGTTGGTCGGTGGACAGGTGGTCGCACGACTTAATCCACTTGCGGATCTGAGTTTTGCTGCACACGGCAAGGGTGGACGACGTGGCGACCGCGGCGACGAGGAGGGCGAAGATGGCTTTCATGGTGTCGGGTGGGCTTGAGCTAGCAAATTCAATTGTGTGTCGGCTCCAAGAGGGGCCGACTGTGGCGACTCCGACGGTGCAACTTGCACCCAGTCAACTCCCGTCTGATGGTCCAACATGGATGGTACACGAGCCTTGAACACGACACCCGGATTTGTCCCCAACTTGTTCGCTGCCGTCGGATATATGATGGATATGCATTCAGTACCACTTTACTGGTATGCGTCATCTGAGGTCGGTGGTGTAGGCCTTCACCGCATTCGAAACGAAGGTAGCAAGTACATCGAGTCATAACGAGCCTTTGTCCCGACATCAGTCATTGAGTCTCCGTTCTTATTGAATCATGACAGCGTGCTCTCTGGATACTTTGTCGCGTTGTTACCCAACGCAGCCACACATAGTTATGCTCCAAAGTGAAGATTACGCATATACATAAGACATTTGTCAGCAGAAATGGCAATGTGAAGATTACGCTTGTGCATAAGGCATTTGCAATCAGAAATGACTGACGATTAACCATCACAGTTTGATCTGGCTATATTGTACAGTATCTGTATCTGAGAGATGGCAGCCGCCAAGATCCTACCACCAAACGTACCTGACCAAATCACACCTACTGTACCAGTAGACATCAACTGCCATCAGTGCAAACACATTATACGTCACAAACATCATGCAGATACTTGAGAGCGATCCACTTGTGCGCCTCGACCCTCGCCAAACTACTCATGCTTGTAGCCATGTACTACGTAGTATTCATCAAATAATGACAGGCTTTCGCCATCTACACGGCCTACACCCCAGCCAGGTACACTTTCTCAGCTATATGAAACTGCCCAAGACACGTAAATTGTACATGTAACTCGCTTTATTACGATAGAGCAAAATGAAACTACACGTGACTCTAGTCGGTAGTCCCGTTGACAGGTGCGTCGAACGCGGCCAACTCCAGCCTCAAAGCATGGACGTCCGAGGCGTGGCAGAATTCGTCCAGCGTGATGTACTTGTTGAGGTCGGAGACTGGGCCCAAGCCCACGGACACGTAGCAGTCGCGGGTCTCAGGGTCCGTCAGCCAGTGCAACGCGCGGTGGCAGGTGCGGCTGTCGCACTTTTGTTGGTCGGTGGACAGGTGGTCGCACGACTTAATCCACTTGCGGATCTGAGTTTTGCTGCGGTGGATGACGTGCCCATAAGTCGGCTATATCACCCCGTGCCCCAACTGTTCCCCTGACCAGCTATCTCCACCTACCACAGCTCTAGCCACGTAATTCCCACTTTCGCCATCTAAACGACCCTTGCTAATCCCCCTTCCACGAAGATTTTATTCAAGTATGCACTCATCTACGTTATGCCTCGAAGTATCGCCAAACGCACGGAGGTTGTGCGTGTAAACTTGCTTGGTCACAACATGGAATTGTGGATCACAAGCCCACTAAAGGGGCGTCTTTCGGGGACTCTGGCGGTGCAACTTGCGGTTACCCGGGAAAGCATGCGCTGGTTTCAGAAACCTCGTACTACTGCGCCAATGGGGTGCGCAACCCGCGTTCGACTTGCACCTTCGGCAGCACTGCCCAGCTTGGGTGACACCAGTGTTATGCAGGTCATCTGACATTCCCCATGCATTAATCATCCAAACTTCCCTCAAAAATGGAGTTGGCGTTGCAGGGTAGTACTGTACTGCACTGCGCCACAGCAACCCAAATCATGTGAGGTGACGCGAGTGCGTTCTGCCCCGTTGGCTCGACTACTACATGCCGGCCAATGCTAGCTACTCTCCGGTTGGCGCAACCAATAGTACACGGCACGTCCCTTACAGCTCACTGGGAATGATGTGCCTGGTATTAACGTTTCATGTAAGGAGCGTGGGGCAAGCTGTACAACGTGGGTAAGTTTGCTGGGGTGAATTTGCGTACGACTACCCCACGGCGACGTCCGAGTTACATTTACTGTAACCGTGCCCATCATCCGGTTACTAACCGGATGACTAGACGACTCTTCTTCAGTCCAAGGTGTCTCTTCGCACACCAACAAGTCCTCTTGCGCAACCAAGGTGTTCCTCCGACGATACATCAATGGTTGGTTGCGCGTAGCTTAGTGATAGCGTAGTAGTATTAACGCTATCAATTCATTCTCGATTCTACCATCTCCTGCGTCTTCCTCTGCGCACGCTCAAACCTGGTAGCACTCCACGTTCGTCCAGTCGACCAACACTATGTCCTCCACCAACACCGCAGCCCACCAGGCGGTCCTCGCCCTCTTGCGTCGCGGTTTTGGCGACAATGATACAGCGCTACTCCTTTGAGGGATGACACCCGATAACCAAACTCGCCTTGTGGAAGGCATCGGTAGCACGATTGATCTCTCGGTTGCCGAAGCTACAGCCGCCTAGAAGGCTTTGGAAGAACAAGTCGCCCAAATGTCTTCGCACGGGCGAAACCTTGAAGATTCTCTTCGTATC